GGTTACACACTTCTGTTATCCACTGTCAAGGTGGAGACAGCTGATACCTCAGAGCTTGTTGGCAAGCCATTCCAGCCAATTGAGCTCTGGTTTCAATGAAAAATCTTGCCTCAAACAATAAGGTGGAGATCAATAGATGATACTAGACATCAACATTGCCCTCCAGGAGCACATACACATACAGGCATACCCACACATATATACACATATAATGAACTCCTTTTTTTCCCACATACAATTCTTGAATATGTAAATCAGACTGCCAGAGGAGTTCTTATTAAAAAGACAACCCAAACACTATTAACATGTTAATATGTCATACCTAAATCCAAGAGGTCAGATAAATATTAGCAGAAGAGATTTTCATTTTCCACCAAGGGCCTGTCTGCGTATTGAAGCACTCCCCAGAATAAAGGGTTCTCTAAGCAAAACACATGCTTTGCAAAGTGTTTCAAAATTGAATAGCTTCCAGTTTAATTACCATACTCTCTTGAGCTATAGTTCTTGCTTTGCTGTGGGAAACCTATCCTTGTGAGACTGACATCCAAGGCAGTTGGTAAATGGTATCAACGAAGAAGGCTGCAGACATTTTCAAGTCTCATCTGGTACGTAGGACATGGAATGTCATGGATATAAAATTGTCTGAGTTTAAAGTAGCAGGAAAAATAAAACCACTCAGACAAAGCTCACACGTGCAAAATGTCAAATGTGCCCACAGTTTCCTGTCTGAAAGGTTCTTCCTGTGTGGAGAGGCTCAGGCTAAACTACCATAGCTATAACTGAAGATGGAAAATAATTCTTTTTAGCATAGATCAGTGGCTTTCAATGTTTTTTGTTTTGTTTTGTTTTTTAATCTCAGAATTTCCTTAGATTTTTATTTTTCTTTGTAATGCCAGGGTGGAGACAAACCCAAGGCCTTACATGAGCTAAGTCAGCAAACTAGCAACTTGCCATTCTCCCAACCCTGTTTTCTACCTCTTTCCCACCCAGCTTGAGAGATGACTGGATTATTCTCTCTCTATCTGCATTCAAGTTGTGTCAACACCACACACAGCTCTAGAGCTCTCTACTGCAAACACGTGAGAGAATGAGAGAGAAAGTGTCAATTAATGCCTTTGTGTGTTCATGAAAATCCTTTCCAGCTTGTTGACTAAAAGGATTTCATGAACTCCCCAGACCCAGTCTAAACAACTGCAGAGGCAGAACTGTAAGAACGAGTGTTTTCTAGAAGGTTCTCACTACTTCCAAGCACACAACATTCTCAAGTCTTCAAGTAGGGTCACTTGGGTGCTTTGGCGCTTGTCTTCGTCCTGTCCTGAGATTTCACATTAAGCATAAGCCAGAGCCAGGAAAATCTAAATCTACAACAAACTACAAGGACTCCTGACTGTCTGGAACTGAGTCACTGAGGAGGTCTGAGCCAAGAGACCACCACTTTATGTACATACCTCAAATTGTTGGAGTAGTACATATAGAGTTTAGCACCCCAACCAGTGCCAATTCAATCCTGCATACTTTGTACTGCCAGTTTCAAGAGATAACATCCCAACTAACAGGGAAATTGGAGACCACTCCAAGTTCTTGGCATCCAGGTTCCCTAACTACAGTGTGGATCTGTGTGTTGTAACCAGAGGCCAGAAGACACCTTTTGGTTTTGAGTGTCAACCTGCTGAGATCCTGTCTGATGTTGTGGGGCAGGAATAATCTGCATCTGGTTGTATTGCACATCCATTGTTTGTCATCAGTTGGGAAATACTGAAATGCAGTGTTGCTCAATGAAGTAGTTTGGAGTGCAGTACCCTGTTTCTATGAGTGCCAGCAGCTAAGCAGATGACAAAGGAGTTACATCCCTTAATTCTTGGCTCTTTGTGGTATAAAGTATGCTTCCTTCCTTTATCCTTCCCTTCATTTCTTTTGTTCCTTTTCCAAGTATTTGTGAGGCACCTCTTATGAACCTAAGTACCACAACAAGCACAATTTCACCAACACCTATCTGCCAATTAAATTTACTTTTTAACTATTAAATTATCCTTCCTAAACAAAAGAAAATCATGAGCTTTGTAGGAAAATTAAAATTATGATTCAGTATAAAGGAGATAATAACTGTCCTAATTATTATCTAGGAGGTAGTTTTAATGAATTCCCCTAGAGTTTTTCTGTATTTTTATACACTTGATATAACATGGATAGCAATTCTATGACCCTGTTTGATTAACATAGAATCATCAGCAGTTTCAATGTCCTTTAAAATCTTCATGGGCATTGTGATTACCACTGTTGGTCATAAATAGTCCAATAGAAAACTCTCGCTCCTCAGCTCAGAGTCCCCCAGCATATAGTCCTTCTTAGCAATGGCACTACAGGGAGAGCAACAAGTACATTTTGCACTTTTTGTAAATATACAGAAAAATTAATTTTCCATCAGTTGTATCAGAATGACACCACCAGATGGGGGAGTGCCTTTAATTATACCCTAGTCAGCAGTACAGAAATGGGTATCTATAAACAAACAACTCTATTGATTAATAATAATTGACTATTAATTATTGATTAATAATAATTGATTAATAATAATTATTATTATTTAAAATTTTATTTTTTTAAATGTATGTGGCCCTAGAAGCTGAATCTAAGGCCTCATGTGTTAAACAACTGCTTCATTTTGACTTTCATTAAAAACTTTTAAATTCAACATTTATTTATTATTTATTTACTCACTTATTGAGTGTGTGTGTTTGTGTGTATGCACGTGGACACGAGAGGACAGTTTCTAGCAGCTGGTCCTTCTATCATGTGGGAGAAATGAGGTCTTCCAGCAGAGCAGCCAGCCTCTCTACCCTCTGAGTCATCTTGTCCCAAACGCTATTTTCTTTTGAGACATGATTTTTTTTTTTTTTTTTTTTTTACTTATTTTTTTCAGTGTTGGCTATGCTGACCCAGAACTCTTAAGTCTAGTCAGTTCTTCCACCTCAGCCTCTGATTATTTGGAACTACAGTTATGCCCCACGCTACACTGCTTTTAGGTGGGACTTTGGAAGCTAGGTGGTAAGTCACCATGGGCAGACACTATTATAAATACATATGTGGGGCTGTAGACTCTGACTACTTTTTCACTATTACAGCCAGAACGCGTTTTGTCTAGTAGACAAGATCAGCCCATGAAGAACACCAGACTCAAATGTCTATGAAATCTTCAGATGTCATTGAATATATCCTAGCCCTGGTACTATGGAAAACTGAAGATTCTAAAGAAGCCTCCTGCTACTCAGCTATAGCAGGTGGACCATCTTAAAACTATTTTTGAGAAACACTACAAATCTGAACTTGGGAGTGCAAGAGATGTTGCTCAAGGCTAGAACTCATCCTTGGCACTCTTGAAGCTCTGGGCTTGATCCCCCTCGTAGTAAATAAAAATAGAATTAAAAATTGTAAACATTTGGGGAACTTTCTGGTTTTGATATTTGGAACAAAACAAAACAACAACAAAAGCCAAACAAAAATCAACAAAATTGCCTCTTAGAAACTAAGGCCGTAGTCTGCCCCTGACAGATGATGTTTATTTTACACCACGGTAGGGTGCCCCCTTAGAAAGGGACAAGGGTGAGCCAAACAGCTCAGGAGGCAGCAGAGTCAGGGCTGCAAGTTTGGTGTCCAAAGGAAAAGCCAACCAAGATAGCCAGCATGCCTTGCTTCACCTATGGTCTTGGAGCTAAGTTCCTACCTTAGCTGGAGAAAAGACCCCAGTCTCATCAGTAGCAGCAATATTCCTAAAATGTTGGCGAGTTGGTGGATCTGCTACCTCAAAGAAGCAGCTTTTGATGTAGTCTTAGGATTTCTATCTCTATGTTAATGCACCATGACCAAAATCAAGGTAGGGAGGAAAGGGTTTATTTCCCTGCAAAGGCAAAGTCCATTCTCCAAGGCAGTTAAAGCAGGAACTCAAACAGCACAGGAATCTGGAGGCAGGAGTTGATGCAGGTCATGGACACGTACTGTTTACTGGCTTGCTTCCTGTGGCTTGTTCAGCCTGATTTCTTATAGAACCCAACAAAGACCATTTTCCCCAGGGGTGGCACTACTCACCACGGGCTTGGTAGCCCTATCTTATAAAACCATTTTCTCAGTTCAGTTTCTCTTTTCTAAGATGGCCCTAGCTTGTGTCAAATTGCCACAAATTCAGCCAGCACAGATGTCAAATCAGAGTGGCTTCTCCCCACTCCTTCATTCCCCTTCTTCCTCCCACACTCTCCAGATTTAAAGTGTCCTCTACTAACTGCTGCTGAGAAAAAAAAAAATCAAATAATTTTCTTGCCTATGTCTTATTCATAGGAAGAGTATAAGATGCAGCTTTTACACACGGGGCTGTAGCAAATATGTCAGACTGTGTATAGTTTGTGTCAGGCACAGGTTGGGGGACCGTATTAAAGACACTGCATATGATAGCTACCGTTTGTATTTTCCTATCTCAAGAAGGTGGGGGGAGAGAGAGTGTTTCCTGGCGGGAGTGCTTAGTCATAGACAGGCAAATCTCAAAATGGGATTCCTACATAAGATGTCAGTGACCCTATATCAGGAGCCATTCCACGGGCAAATCCAGCTGCATCATGGCTCGTGTAGTCTACAGTTTTGGAGTCGCCCATCCATTCCTCTGCTCTCTAGGTGAAGCTGATGGTTCACTGGATGGTTCAAGTGATCCAGCCTTGGGCAGCGAGCGTGCAGGTTGTCTAGGGGGTAAACCAGGGGCAACAACTGTTTCACTCTGGCCCTACGCCACCGGCCCACCGGCCGGGACCCGCCATCCCGGAGGTTTTTCTGCAGCACATGGGAGGCTGTGGCTACGGAGGAGGGGGCGGAGGCAGAGGCGGAGGCGGCGCCCAGGGGCCGGGGCAGGGGAGGTCCGGACCATTGCGGTAACAATCTCTTTCCCTGTGTTGCTGCGGCAGAGAGAGCCGCCACAGATTCGAAGATCACCTGCCCGTGCTTGGGATTGCAAGGGGCTGGGGGCTGTCCCGCCAGCAAGAGCGAGCCCAAGCCACGAAAGGCAACAGAGCTCGTCCGACCACGAGCAGAGAGAACCCAGAGGAGGCACGGCCCCGACCAGCCCGCGAGCGCCTCCCAGCCTGGTGCCACCGTCACCAAGCGCCGGTGCCTTGTGGAGCAGCCGCTGTCGCCCCGGCTGCAGCGGCCACACGGATGCCCAAGCCACGCGGCCCGAGCGGGGGCAGTCGCCGTCCCACGCGAGCTCCGGACACGCCCGATTGCTGGTGAGTGACCGCGCACGTGTGCCCGTTGGCCCCGGAGGTGCGTGGAGGTGACCGCTGGCTTCCTGTCGCCCGGTGGCCCCTGCCCCCAAGCGTCCCTCTCCCGCCCTAGGGTTAGTTTTTAAATGCTGGGGGAAGCGGAGACTGTGGTTCCTGGCCTCTGGGCCTTCCCCGCGGTGACCTGGACCCGGATGCGCGTGCTTTTCTGGTTCAGACGTGGGATGCATCCTTGCTGATGATGTCAGAATCCTGAGAGCCCACCTCACTGGTTTTGCTTGGGGCTTCATTTCAAGTCGGCTGCGCGGGATGTCAAGGAGGGAGGGGCGAGAACTGGTAAAACACCATACTGTGGGAGGGCTTTCTAGATGTTGCGTTGATGCCATTTAGCTTCATGAGACATACTCTCCTATCGGAATAATTTGAGTGTTTTCGCTACAAGCCTCAAAGGAAATGCACAAAAAAGTGCAATGCCATGAAAACATAATTTTCCAGAATTCCCCGAAACAACCCAACCTGCTGGGAGTCTAGAGTCTGAAGTGCTGTGATTAATTGAAGTTTAAAAGAAAATGTCAAAATGAAGCAGCAATTCCAGATTCTTTCTGATTTAGAGGAATTAAAAAAAAAAAAAACAAAAAAAAAAACAACTCTAGGTTCCTGTGAGGGAGAGGGGCTGGGAGCTGGTCTGCCTTCCCCAAAAGAGTGGTCGCATGTAAGCCCCAGAGAGCACGCTGCTTGCTTTCTAGACATCCAGCTACTCACTGAAAATTAAGCGAAGTCTTGAGTTTTTGAAGTGTTTACAGAAATCAGGTTAATTTGAGTTTCTGTCAAGGTCAACCCCGACTATGAGAGCAGACAAATTAACACTTGAATGTTTGACTTCCGGTTTCAATTTTTAAGTAATAGTTATTTCCAGACCCGTTTCAATGGGCAAGTTTTTGTGTTCCTGGTGTTTGCTAAAAGGAACTTTATAAATGTACTCTGTCAGCAGATTCTGCTGGTCCTTTTGTAGATCGACGACTGTAATTATCTGTGTTCATTGTAAACACTTTAATGTCTGAGCTGTAGGGTGATCCGTTAGAGCCATGGTTCTCAACCTTTCTAATGCTGTGACCCTTTAATACAGTTTCTCATGTTGTGGTGACTGCCAACAATAAAGTTATTTCTGTGCTACTTTATAACTGTAATTTTGCTACTGCTATGAAATATAATGCAAATATCTGTGTTTACCACAGGCGACCCCTTGACAGGGTTGCTCCATTCCTCCCACCCCAAGGGTTATGACCCACAGGTTGAGAACCACTATGTTAGCTCCTCTTTAATCAAAGACTGGGACTACTATTAGATTATCCAAGAAAATTAACTGGATGTAAATTATCTGTTCAGTCTGCTCATAACAGCGTTCGGTTCATGGAAATCCACTTTTGAGTACACCTCAACTGGCATGTATGCATTTTACTTTCTTGTTTCTTTTTGTAAAATATGCATCTTTTATCCTATAAAGGCAGATTCTCAGTTCTTTACCCATGTGCAAGGGTAGTGACTTGGAGGGAACAGTGAGGGGCCCCGTGTTCTGTGGGTGTGCTCAACAGCAGAATGCAATCTGTCTGAATCGAGTGTCTCTGTGGTTGATTGAAAAGGGCTGATAAAAAGTAAAAGAACTGTTGATAATAGTTAACACTTTTTAGTGTCTGTTGGTTGAGACCCTTACTTTAAGGTTGCTTTTCAGGCCTTCTTTTACCGTGGTGGTGTATACCTTTAATTCCAACATTCAATAGGCAGAGACCAAACTGTGAGTTTGAGGCCAGCCTGGTCTACAGAATGAGTTCCAGGACAGCTGGGGCTACACAGAAAAACCCTGTCTCAAAAACAAAACAAAACAACAAAAACCCTGATCTTCAAAAATGAATTTTTAAAGAAGTAGGTTTCAGTCATATATGTATGTCATTACACTGTTCTTATTAACTGCTCACACTGTCCTCCTGTTCCCCCATTACCCCCCTCCCTCCAGATAGCTCCCTTTCTACTTCATGGCATGGATAACCCCCTGCCCCCCTCGCCCATCCCCCCCCCCAGTCTTGTTCCTTCCTCTCCTTTCTCTTATATAGACTTTGCCCTTTCAGGTTCCCTTTCTATTTTCATATCCTCCCTCCTCTCTCTCTCTCTCTCTCTCTCTCTCTCTCTCTCTCTCTCTCTCTCTCTCTCTCTGTGTGTGTGTGTGTGTGTGTGTGTGTGTGTGTGTAAACTGCACATGAGAAAATGGAGAAAATGGGCAATTTGTTTTTCTGAGTCTGGCTGGCACACTACTTATGTGAAGGTCAGAGGACAATTTTGGAGGGTTGGTTCTCTTTCGCCATCTGGATCCTGGGGATCCAGTCAGGCTTGGTCCAAGCAACTTTACATACTGAGCCGTCTCTCAAGCCATGCCAGTTAACCTTTTAATCAACCCACTGGGTGTCTGTGTGTTTCTGTTTAATCCAGTATGTTTTTTTTTTCTTGACCTTCTTAAGGATTTATAAGTTATTTCCAAAGAAACTATGAGAAATGACTCATGGTCACCACTGAAAATACCAGAATGGGGTTTCCATCCCTCAGGGCTGATGAGTATCAGCTTTTCAACAAATATTGTCAAATGAGCATCAGGCTCTAGAAGTCTTTGTCTCCCCAAACTAACCTACATTGACTCTTCTGATTTTGATTTTCTTTTTGAACATAACTTGTAGCATGAACAACAAAAACTCAGGAACAGATATTAAAGCTGAACATCAGAGAAGCAAAGCGGCCAGCCACTAGCTCTTACCTCTACCTCAGACCAAAATGGGCAATCCTGTCTCACAAATCCTCAGAATGCAATCTGTCTGCCAAACCTTAGACTCCCTTATATTCTTCTCTAGTGCTAGGATTAAAGGCGTGTCATCCCAAGTGCTGGGATCAAAAGTGTGAACCCTGTTTCTCTTTTAGACAGATTCACGCTCATGTAGTCCCCAGGGTGGCCTTGAACTCACAGAGATCCATCTGCCTCTGTCTCCTGAGTCCTGGGATTAAAGGTGTGTGCCATCACTGCCTGTCCTCTATGGCTAACTAGTGGCTTAGTGTGTGTGTGGGGGGGGTGAAGGGGGCTAACTATTGGCTTAGATCTTAACTAGGTTTGTGGCTGACTAATGGCTTAACTCTGTACTCCTATCTTCAGGCAAACTTTATTAGACCATAAACAAAATATCACCACAATAACTTTATGTGAATCACCAAACACTCCATCAAATCAAAGTCAGTATATTCAGTGAAGACGATTGACTGTATCAGTAGAAGAACCACTGTTCTAAAACAGTGTTCTCAACCTTCCTAATGCTGCAACCCTTTAATGCAGTTCCTTATGTTTTGATATCCCCCAACCATAAAGTTATTTCCTTGCTACTTCATAGCTGCAATTTTGCTATTGTTATGAGTTATAATGTAACTGATATTCAAGATATCTGATATGTGACCCCTGTGAAAAGGTCCTTTGACCTTAAAAGGGGCATGACCCACAGGCTGAGAACCATTGTTCTAACATCATATTGGTACTTGTTGACCTGTTTCTCCCAGCTCCCCATATGTGTGAACTATCCACTGGACTGTGCCGACGGCATATTCAGAAATCCTGAACTGACAATCACAGATTTCCATTCAGGAATAATCTGAGTAGAACTACATCTGGGTGTGACTTTTGTCAGAGATCATTTCCATTTCTAAGCAAATCCACCAGATTGCTAGCAGTGTCCTCCACCTCTTAACCAAGTACAGGGATCGGTTTAACATTTGGTAAGCTGCTTAGTCTTTAGAATCACAGACCGCTTGATTCCCTTTCTAACCAAGTCCATGTTATTTTTGTCTGTTGAAGTGCTTCTTAGAGATATTGATTCAGATGGGTGGTTCCTTCATAATCCTCATGTATGAAAAGCAGTCCCTTCATCCAAACATGTGCAAGTTCTATGATTTTTCTGAGGAAGTCTTCTGAAATGTTAGAAGTCTGTCTTCTTTTTACTGTAGTTCTGACTTTCCATCTCTAGTCATTAACAATTCTCCATGCCATTCAGGATCTAATTCCAGGGTGAAAGTTAGGATGCTACCAGAATTAACCTAGATAGTAATATTGTATCATGTAACAATATTTTTTTTTGTTTTTTTTTTTTTTTGGGGGGGTGGCAGGGTTTCTCTGTGTAGCCCTGGCTGTCTGGAACTCACTCTGTAGATCACTATGGCCTGCCTCTGCCTCCTGAGTGCTGGGATAAAAGGCATGTGCCACAATGCCTGAGAAGGCATGTTTTCATAAGAGACTTCTGGAAACTGCATGGGAGTGGATTAGAAAAAAGAAGAGGAAGTGAGAACCAGACCAAAGATCCCTGGTACACCAAGATAAAGACTGCTTCAGTGGCCAGGCCTTTAATCCCAGCACTACTGAGGCAGAGGCAGAGGCCAGAGGCCAGAGGCCAGAGGCCAGAAGGATCTCCGTGAGTGCAAGGCCAGTGTGATCTACAAAGAAAGCTCTAAGACATACAGGACTACACAGCGAAATCCTGTCTTCAAGAAGAAAAAAAGGCAACTTGAGATGTCAGGATATCTTATTTGAAAAGAGGCGTAAAAATAATCACCGACATGCTATAATCTCGTACAGGCACCACCAGTTGATCCCAGCATTCTTTTCTTCTGAGTCTTGGTATAACTTCAAAATCTTGCAAAATTTGAGAATTACTAAGTTATGGGGTAGTTATTTTGCCACCTACTGTAGCTAGTCTGTCTTGTTGGCTGCCAGCTCCTAAATAATGAGCCTTACTGTTCATTATGAAAGTTTGGCCTTTAGCTTAGGGTTGTTCACATCTAGCTCTTTTAACTCAAATTAACCTGCTTTTGTTAGTCCACGTTCTGCCATGTGGCTTTTAACGCTCCCATTCTGTACATCCAACATGTTCTGTGTCTGTCTTGCTGCCATCTTTCTGCCTCTCTTCTTCCCAGAACTCCCCTCTTCC